CATTTATCTCCAAAATAATTCTTACACTTAGTATCACTATCATAATCAATTGTTTATGGAGTTGTATTACATGATTTTTCTAAATATTAAGTTTATTACCATTCATATGGTTTACCTTAATCATTAATTTTAAATTATTCTATATTTACATATGATTAACATGATGATTTAGATAATCTTTATATTCCATCTTTATCAAAATTTAATGCTATTGTACATTAAACAGTAGGTGTATTATAATATGAATAACAATCAAAATGTGTTGATATTGTATATGGTGCAGTTGTACATAATTTTTTCTTAACATTTAGGTTATATTCCAAACACTAACATCTCCATTTTCATTTATAACACATTATTCTTCTATTACATAAGAATCACATGATTATCTAGACTTACAACCAGCAATTGCAATACCTTCAGATGCTTTTACTGTACATGCTAATTATTAATCTAGACTAAAACATTCACTATGAAAATCATTAGATATTTATAGTTTGCAGTTTTTGTACAAGAATTACTTCCTATGTATTATTCACATGTAGTTTTAAATTCTTAACAAGAAGTTCCATCAGTGACAGATGTACAAGATATATTGGTTGACTGACAAGTAGAATGATCAAGACCAATTCCAGTAATTGAAGTACATCAAAAAGTTCTTACTTAATAACAAGCTTTTTCAAACCATAGACAAGATAAACCATCATTATACATCACACATGTATTTGAAGTAGAATAATTTTTACAATACATCTAGCTTATTTTTATTAACAAACAGTTCCATTAGCATTTGATGTACATCCTGATTTATAAGATAAACATTATTCATTTTGTTATTCCAATAATAGAAGAACAAATAGAAAAACGTACACATTTTGTACCATCAAAGTATTGATCAATTATATTATTATTATTATTTAATATTTAATAAAATATTTCAATTTAATAATAAAATTCCCCTTATTTTGAAATTGTACAGTGTTATTAATCATTTGAATATAAATTACAATTATTTTTATATTCTTAACATCCAGAACCATTACTTAAATATGTGCAAAAAGAACTGTAAGTTTAACATTTATCATGATCTAAAGAAGGTTATGAATTTAAAAAAGCACATCAGAAGCCTATGTAATGTATCTAATTTTTAACTATCTTAAAATGTCAATTTTTATCCTATTTTTAATTAACAATCTACAAAACAAGGAGTTAAATAGCTTAATCTGTATTTGTACAACCATCATTAAACTTTTAACACATTTCTTTAAATCCTTTTAACATTGAACATGGTTATGATATTAATTATTATATTGAATAACATTTATCTATTACCCATTTAAAATCATCTTTATTTGTTAAATTTTATATACTCTTATGACATTAAGCTTATATCTTATACTCTGAACAATTTGCTAATTTGCTAATGCAACCTTAACCACCAACTTTATAAAATACTTGTACATTTTTCATTACTTGCATAATTTTAACATTCTTCATCTGTATCATAAAATAAACTATCAGAAGCATCAAAACAAGTTGCACTTCTACAAACAAAACCTGTCCATATACAATATTTTCTTTCTGATGTTATTTTACAATTGTTTACAGTACATTATAGTTAATAAGCATTACAATCTATATGAGTTATTAATTTCAGATTTTCACATATTCTATCAACACATTCTTAACCATTCCAAAAACAATCTCCAACTATTTTTGATCCTAATTAAAAATTTTAATAAACTAAGTTTTTACAACTTTATGATTTTGCTATCTTAATTGTTATTTGAAATACAATAATTATCAGAAAGAAAATTGAAACAATTTTCAAATTTAAATTATGATAATGAATTTGATGTTCTTATCATTGATGAACTCTCACAAATTCAATACATTAAATCTATGTCTAATTCCATAAACATATTGGATATCCATTCCTTAATATTTCACAATTTTCTATTGACATTCTTTATCGATAATTTCTTGGTAAATCTTGACATCCCATAATTATTGAAATTTCATTCACTTTTATAGGATTATTTGCAACAAACTATGGTATAATTATTTTCAACTTATTATTTATCTCTAAATATGCTTAACATTCTGATGTTGTTTTCAATTAATTGGAAGCAGTTAAACAACTCTTATCGACGCATTAATAACCATCCCATCCACAAAGATATCCATCAGCTCTTTTTATACATGAATTTTTATTATAAACATACATTTGGTAAAGACACATCCAACACCAGAATTACTTAAAGTACAACTAGAAAGATATGTTTAACATTCAAGATGGGTTGTTGCCTTTGAAGCAAAGAATTATTGCTTTTAATAACATTTTTCAACCCATACACATGTTTTATTACTTAAGATATCCATAAAACAATCTGTTTAAAGAAGAGAATCTTCACATCTCTTCTCTATAATTCTGTATTTGTTGAATTAGCAATACAAGAAACTGAGAATGTTTAACAATAATTTTGTGTTATTGTACAGCTTTCCACAAGTAATCTATTTAATGAACTACC